GGGGCCGTGTGGAGCTTCTTGGGGGGCTGTGTGGGCCTCCCCGGAGCGTCTTGGGGCGATAGGCTAGACTTGTCGGATCGTGGTCCCCCTCTCGGGCCGTCTTGGTGCCCTCTTGGACCGTCTTGGGCGCCTCTTGGGCCGTCTGGGGGCCCTCTTGGGCCGTTTGGAGGGCCTCTGGGGAGCCTCTTGGGCCGTCTTGGGGCGGTCTTGGGGGCCTCCTGGGCCGTCGTCAACGCCGTGAAAGGCGAAAAGCCGTATATGCTAAAAATGTACGTTTCCCTTTGGAAAATATATGATTTTGGCCTCTTGGGGCCCTCTCGGGACGCCCCTTGGGAGCCTCTTGGGGGCCTCTTGGGGGACTCTTGGGACGTCTTGGGCCTGTCTTGGGCGGTCTTGGGCTCTTCTGGGGCGGAAAATACGTGAAATCCGAAAAATATGCAAAAACCCTAGGGAAAAACCCCAAAACGGCCATTAACACTAATGTCTCCGGGCCTCGCCCCTCCCCTGGACCCCTCCCTATTAGGGATTCGCCCCCTGCTCAACATCATCGCTCGTACCTCGCTCGTTCCGTTACCTGGCCCGGCACAGAAACGGAAAGAGCGCTTCAGAAAGAGAAACCGAAATTACTCACACCACCATTCGTACCGGGAGCCTTGGCGTTGAGAGCTTGTTACGTCACCCCTCGCTCTTGGGAGCCTTGGTGTTCAGAGATGGTTGCGTTGCCGCCCGTTCCTGAGCCTTGGCTGGGCCTTGGTGTCAGGAACTTGTTACGTCACCGCTCTCTGCTGGGAGCCTTGGTCTTATCAGCTTGTGTATACGTCACCGTTCGCTCTTGGGAGCCTTGGTGTGAAGAGCATTTTGCGTTACCGATCGCTCTTTATTCGGCTTCTCTGAGCCTTCTTGGGAGTCCCATTGGGGCCCTTTTTGAGCCCCTTTGGGGGCCTCTTGGGTGCCTCTTGGGGCTTCTTGGGGGTCTGTGGGGCCTCCTGGGAGCGTCTTGGGGCGAAAGGCTAGACTTTCGGGTTCGTGGTCCCCCTTCTGGGGCCGTCTTGGGGCCCTCTTGGGCCGTCTTGGGCGCCTCTTGGGCCGTCTTGGCGCCCTCTTGGGCCGTTTTGGGGGCCTCTTGGGAGCCTCTGGGGCCGTCTTGGGCCAGTCTTGGGGCCCTCTCAGGACCTCTTGGGGCCTCTTCGGGTATCTTTTGGGCAGCCGTGGGAAGTGTTTTTGGGAAGCCCTCTCAAAAAACACTTGCTGGACAACATTCCTGGGCCGTCTTGGGGCCGTCTTGGGGCCCTTTCGGAGCCCCCTGGGCAAGTCTTGGGGCCCTCTTGGGCCGTTTCGGGGCCCTCTTGGGCCGTCTTGGGGCACTCTTGGGCCGTTTTCGCTCGCTTCTGGGGGCCTCTTGGGCCGTCTTTGGGCGATCTTTGGAGCCTCCTGGGTCGTTTTCGGCAGTTCATGGCCCGACAAAGGGAAATCCGAAAAACCTTCAAAAACCATTGAAAATAAAATTATTTTTGCCTCCTCGGGGCCTCATGGGGAGCCTCTCGGAGGCCACTTGGGGCGTCTTCGGGGCCTCTTGGACCGTCTTGGAGCCATCTTAGGGCGTCTTGGAGGCATCTTGGACCATCTCGGACACAACTTTGGCCGTTTCGGAGCGCTCTGGGACCGCCTTGCAGCTGTATTGGGCGCCTCTTGGGCCGTCTTGGGCGCCTCTTGGGCAGTCTTGGGCGCCTCTGGGACCCTTGGGGGGGTGGGCGGCCATTAGCGCCAATGTCCCCACGCTTCGCCTCTCCCCTGGAACCCCTCCCTCTAGGGCTTCGCCCCCTGCTCAACGTCATCGCTCGTACCTCGCTCTTTCCGTCACCTGGCCTGGCACAGAAACGGAAAGAGCGCTGCAGCAACGGAAACCGAAATGACTCACACCACCGTTCGTACCGGGAGCCTTGGCGTTGAGAGCTGGTTACGTCACCCCTCGCTCTTGGGAGCCTTGGGGTTCAGAGATTGTTGCGTCGCTCTCTGCTGGGAGCCTTGGTCTTATCAGCTTGTTTGCGTCACCGTTCGCTCTTGGGAGCCTTGGTGTGAAGAGCTTTTTTGCATTACCGATCGCTCTTGGGGTCTCTGGGCCTTCGTGGGAGTCCCATTGGGGCCCTTTTCGGGCTCTCCTGGTGGCATCTTGGGGGCCTCTTGGGGGCCTCTTGGGGCTTCTTGGGGGGTCTGTGGGGGCCTCCTGGGAGCGCCTTGGGGCAAAAGGCTAGACTTTCGGGTTCGTGGTCCCCCTTCTGGGGCCGTCTTGGGGCCCTCGTGGGCCGTCTTGGGCGCCTCTTGGGCCGTCTTGGCGCCCTCTTGGGCCGTTTGAGGAGCCTCTGGGGAGCTCCTTGGGCCGTCTTGGGGCGGTCTTGGGGGCCTCTTGGGCCGTCGTCAACGCCGTGAAAGCCGAAAGCCCGTGCATGCTAAAAATGCACGTTTTCCCATAGAAAATCTATGATTTTGGTCTCCTGATGGCCTCGTGGGACGCCTCTTGGGGGCCTCTTGGGGCTTCTTGGGTGGCTGCGGGGGCCTCCTGGGAGCGTCTTGGGGCGATAGGCTCGACTTTTCGGTTCGTGGTCCCCATCTTGGGGCCGTCTTGGGGCCCTCTTGGGCCGTCTGGGGCGCCTCTTGGGCCGTCTTGGCGCCCTCTTGGGCCGTTTTGGGGGCCTCTGGGGAGCCTCTTGGGCCGTCTTGGGGCGGTCTTTGGGGCCTCTTGGGCCGTCGCCAACGCCGTGAAAGACGAAAAGCCGTATATGCTACAAATATACTTTCCTGTGGAAAAACGATGATTTGGGCCTCTTGGGGCCCTCTTGGGACGCCCCTCGGGCGCCTCTTGGGGGCCTCTTGGGGGCCTCTTGGGCCGTCTTGGGCGGTCTTGGGCTCTCTCGGAGTGCTCTTGGGTCGTCTTGGGGGAGAACCCTAAAAACATGCAAAAACCCGAGGGGAAACCCGAAAACGGCCATTAACGCCAATCTCCTCACGCTTCGCCCCTCCCCTGGAACCCTCCCTCTAGGGCTTCGCCCCCTGCTCAACGTCATCGCTCGTACCTCGCTCTTTCCGTTACCTGGCCCGGCACAGAAACGGAAAGAGCGCTGCAGCAACGGAAACCGAAATGACTCACACAACCGTTCGTACCGGGAGCCTTGGCGTTGAGAGCTGGTTACGTCACCCCTCGCTCTTGGGAGCCTTGGGGTTCAGAGATTGTTGCGTTGCCGCCCGTTCCTGAGCCTTGGCTGGGCCTTGGTGTCAGGAACTTGTTACGTCACCGCTCTCTGCCGTATATGCTAAACTTGATATGCCGTGTATGCTCAAAAAGAACGTTTTCCCATAGAAAATCTATGATTTTAGCCTCCTGCTGGCCTCGTGGGACACCTCTTGGGGGCATCTTGGGGCTTCTTGGGGGGCTGTTGGGGCCTCCTGGGAGCGTCTTGGGGCGATAGGCTAGACTTTTCGGTTCGTGGTCCCCCTCTTGGGGCCGTCTTGGGGCCCTCTTAGGCCGTCTTGGACGTCTTGGGCCGTCTTGGAGGCCTCTGGGGAGCATCTTGGGCCGTCTTGGGCCGTCTTGGACTCTCTTGGGCCGTCTTGAAGGCCGTCTTGGACCATCTTGGGCGGACTTGGAGGCCATCTTGGGCCATCTTCGCGATTGTTTGAGGATGTCCTGAGCGAAACAGCCGTTTTTGGCGACGACAGATGGGTTTTCCGGGTGGCCGGCGGGACGGGCCGAAGCCCCAGGGGGAGTTCTTTTGGAAAAAGAACCAAAACCAAAAGCCATATAATTCGGCACGCCAGGCACCCCTTTGATAAATCACAAGGGGCGGCGGATCTCCTGGGTCTTCGGCTCGTCCCGCCGGCAACCCAGGATGGCCCGCCCGCTGCGCCACCAACGTCTCCAAAAGGCCGTTTCGCTCGGGACATCCTCAAAAATCGCGACCTTGGGGATCCCAGCCCAAGACGCCTTATGAGAAGAATGAGCGCTTCGCATCGATGAATGGCGATCTTGACATCGATGGCCTCACAAGAGGCCCCCAAGACGGCCCCAAGAGGGCCCCAAGACGGCCCCAGAGGCCTCCAAGACGCCCAAGATGGCCTTCAAGACGGCCCTGGAGCACCCCAAGAGGGCCCCAAGTCGGCCAAGAGAGGCCCTCAAGACGGCTTCCAGGCGAGACCGATTGACATGTTGCGAGAGACTGTGCGAGGTGGACACTATCTGCTAGCCGATGAAGCGACACATCTTCGACGAGCGGCCGAAAGAAACGAAGGCGACAAGAGCGAGGCAAAACGGCACAGAGTCAAACGGAGTCAGTAGCGGGGTTGGCCCAAGATCGAGCAGTTTGCGACCACCCAGCGATCATCCCAGTGGACGCGGAGGCGTGTGATGAAGTTCGCCGTGGCAGTGACAGTAGACTCGGTGAGGTGCCTGATCGAGGTACTGAGCGAGCCAGGGACGCTGATCCTGCAGAGGACGCTGGTCCAGGCGAAGGTGAAGAGCGAGAAGTGTTCTTGCATGTTTCACACTACGTTTTGTTACTAGTATCATTTGTAATGTTTTGTTGTTATTCTACTTTGTTTGACGCCCGGTGCGGTGCCTGTTGACACTGACGCTCTACATCAGCACCGGGAACGGGCAGGTGCAGGGGCCCGCCGCCCCACACGGAGAAGGCGCTGGACAACCTGGAGCAGCTCGAGAAGGCCTGCTCGCACTCGGTGGCTTCGTGTCGGTCGGGACAGCTGGCGGTGGCACCGGGCACAGAGGCTCCGCTAGACGCGCTCTGGAGGAAAGGAAGAGAGAGCCCGCTCCTATTGTGGCTGCTGGCGACGCCCGCCGATCAGCACCTCCCATCCCCCAGGCTCCTAGAACCGCTTAGAAACCCTTGAACCTGCGAGCACTTCAGAAAGGCTCCGAAAACCCTACTCCTCCGTCCCACTTCAAAGGCGCCGACGACGACGAAGAAGACGACACTGCCCCAGCGCCGATCCGGGGTGAGCAGGTCGTCCACCTCGGTCATTGTGTCGAGGATCAACTCGGAGAGATAACGAGGAGGAGGAGGAGGAGGAGGATGACGACGACGACGACGAGAACTAGGATGAGGATGAGAAAGGAGATGGAAGGACGAGGAGGAAGAGGAGAAGGGAGGAAGAGGAGAACGGAGGAAGAGGAGGAAGAGGGGGAAGAAGGAAGGAGAGAGGAGGCATGGCAAAACCTTCAACGTATGAGTTTGGGACCCACCTCATCCCCCCTCGTCCTTCCATCTCTCCCCCTCTCACCTTCACCTCGTCGATCCTAACTCCTCCCTCCACGCGTTCCGTCGTGTGTGTGCGAATATTGGTCGACCAGTATCACTACAAATGGATGAACACCAGGAGTGTCAATCCACATGGTTCCAGATTGTGAAACCGAACAACATGCCAACAGTAATTAATAACAACAATTGTTATAAATAGGAGTGCCAAAGCTCGTGATGGCCATACGATGGCACAAATGACAATGTGATAGCATGTCTGCGCCAACACACATAACAGACACGCTGTCCACAAACATATTAAACACTCAAACATGTCACGCCAATCGAAAACTAGCCCCGTGGAAACAGTGGCCCAGACCTTAGCCAAGCCGAAGAGAAGAGCGTCAATGGCGAGCAGATCCAGGAGAATGCTCGACACTAACAACATGTCCAAAGCCAATGGCCATTGCACATGCACGCACATGCACGCACGCACGCACGCACGCACGCGCGCGCGCGCACGCACACACACACACACAAGCACACGCACACGCACCCGCACCCGCACACGCACACGCACACGCACACGCACACACACACACAAAAACAAACAAAAAACATATATATATATATATATATACACAAAAGAAGCACAAACACACACACACACACACACACACACACACCACGCACGCACACACGCGCGCGCGCACGTGCGCGTGCGCGTACAACACACGTAAAAAATCCGAGTCGAGTGAATGCGTGACAAGTTGGGGGCGTACGGCCCGCGCAGGCCTGAACAGTTGATACGCAAACCCGACGCCCCCAGAACCCTCATCATCATGATCGTCCCTCCTCCTGCCTTTTCCCTCCTCTCTGCGGCGCGCCCGGGGGGGGGGGTGAGAGGAATCAGGCCGTCTCAGAAGGCGGCGGGGCTTCTCAGAAGCCCTCTCTGTCTTCGGAGAGAGCTTTGAAAACTGCTCAAAAGGGCGGAGGATTGCCGAGGCTTCTGAGAAGGCCCGCCCCCGCATTCCTGTTATAGCTCGAAGGAAGGAGGACAGAGTCCTTGAAAACGGAGCTCCCGCCGGAACTGCGGGCACGTGGGGCGCTCGCATTCCAAGGGGAGACGCTCGGCGGCTTCCCGCAGTGAGGAGTGAAGAACATGTCTTCAGGAAATGGTAAATGCTGAAGAGGGACTTGGGACGGCAGGACGAATTGCAGCGTCATTGACACATGTTGGATGCATTACTCTGGTCGGATTCATCACCCTGGTCCTCCTCCTCCTCCCCTCCTCCTCCTCCTCCTCCTCCTCATAATCTTCGCTGGCCCCGTCGCCCTGGCCGACTCAGGGCGGAGGCTGGGGGGGAGGGAAGCGAAAGGGGAAGAGGGAAGGAGGAGGTGGAGGTGGAGGATGAGAAGCAGGAGGAGAAGGAAGGTGAAGAGGCGGAGGAGGAGGAGGAGGAGGAGAAGAAAGAGGAGTAGCACCAGAGGAGGATGAGGACGACGATGACGACGATGACGAGGAAAAGGAGGAGGAGAAGGAGAAGGAGAAGGAGAAGGACAAAGGAGGGTCTGAAGGGGGAGGGAGGGGGAGAAGGTGGAAGAGGAGGAGGAGGGAGGAGGAGAAGGATGAGGGGAAGGGAAGGGGGACTGGGAGGGGCAAGGTAAGGAGGGGGAGGGGAAGGGGGAGAGGGGGGAGGAGGAGGAGCAGCAGGAGAGGAGGAGGAGAAGGAGGAGAGAGGAGGAGGAGAGAAGGAGAGGAGGAAAGGAGAGTAGGAAGAGGAGGAGGAGGAGGAAGAGCAGCAGGAGCAGCAGGAGCAGGAGCAGGAGCAGGAGCAAGAGCAGGAGGAGTGGCAATGGAAGGAGGATAAGAAGCAGCAGCAGCGGGGGGGACGAGACGCGAGGAGGCGAGGGAGGGGGAGGAAAAAGAGGAGGAGGAGGCGAGGGAGGGGGAGGCAGAAAAAGAAAATGGATAAGTGAGGAGGGAGGGAGTGGAGGGAAGGGGAGGAGCAGAAGAAGTGGGACGAACAGAGATGGAGAAGAGAGGGAGGAAGGAGGAGGGAGGAGGGAGGAGGGAGGGGGACGTGAAAGACGCGGCTGCAAGCCTGACAGTCGCAGCCGCCGACGGAATCGAGCTCCAGCTCCGCAAGGAGCGGGTCACCTCGGAACCATCCGCCCCAGCGGCAGCAGAAGAGGGGAGAGGAGGGAGGGGGCGAGGGTCTGCCCTGGTTCGCGCTGCCCAGGCTCTGGCAACTGCTGGCTGCTGCGTCCGACCTCGAGCGAGATGGGAGCCGAGAAGGAACGGGTCTTGCGCGAGATGGCATAGTTACCTGACGCTGCGGCTCACGCGGGTCGCCAGCGCAGCACACTGCGTGGAGAGCGGGGGCGCTTACGCGCGACCTCACGCGAGCATCTCACGCGCCAATGTCCGCGCAGCTGCACCCGTTCTCTCCCGCCGCTAAGGTAGCCTCGGCAGCACAAAAGGGTACCTCTTGGTCACTGGCCAGGTCCGTCGGCACACTCTGGGTACCACCCTGCAGTGGCGCGCACAATGGGGTGAAGGGAGGGGGGAAGGCTTCTGAGAGGGAGGCTACTTCTTAGAAGGAGACGGCCATACATCTACAGAGAAGGCCCGCGCCTTCGAAGAGGCAGGAGTGCTTCTAAGAAGCCCTCTCCCCTCCCCCCCCCTTGGGCCCTGGGCGCGACAGTCTGCACGCACGCCTGCCCCCACCTCGCTGCCAGGCGCGGCGTGGACCAGGCGCCATCTACGCCGCTCGGCCGCGGACCCCCTGCCCGCGCCGCGGGCCTGGCGCGCCCGCCACGCACGCTGTGACGCACGGCGCTGCCCAGTGCCCGCTGGCGCGCCCAGCCTGCAGTCACCGCCCACTCACCTTCCACGGCATGGGTGGTCGTTCGGGACGACGCCACAGGAGAGGAGGAGGAGGAGGAGGAGGCGGAGGAGGAGGAGGAGGCGGAGGAGGAGGCGGAGGAGGAGGCGGAGGAGGAGGAGGAGGAGGCGGCGGAGGAGGAGGAGGAGAACTTCGCTCCGACGGGAACCAGCTCGCAGCTCCAAGGCTTCGAGGAGGAGCAGGTGGGGAGACCCCCCCCCCACCCGCGGGGCTGCCCCCGCCGAGCCGCCGCGCGGCGGGAGGTTCGGCGGGCGTCGTCCGCCCCGTGATGGCGTTGGGCCCCTGGCCTCGCCGCGGAGGCCGCCCCGTGCCCTCCTCCGCCTCCTCCTCCTCCTCCTCCTCCTCCTCCCTCCTCCGCCTCCTCCTCCTCCCTCCTCCTCCTCCTCCTCCTCGCTCCTCCTCCTCCTCCTCTCCTCCTCCTCCTCCGCCTCCTCCTCCTCCCTCCTCCCTCCTCCTCCTCCCTCCTCCTCCTCCTCCTCTCCGCCTCCTCCGCCTCCTCCCTCCGCCTCTCCTCCTCCTCCTCCTCCTCCTCCTCCTCCTCCTCCGCCTCCGCCTCCTCCTCCTCCGCCTCCTCCTCCTCCGCCTCCTCCTCCGCCTCCTCCTCCTCCTCATCATCCTCATCCCTTGGACCGGGGACCGACCGTCCCAGTATTCCTACAGGCCTACCACGGGATGTCCCCAGGACCCGAAAGTTTGATCAACGAAGCAAGTGTTCCTGGAGCGTGAAGCCGATGTCTGAAAACAAGACTGCCTCAACAAGAACTGTGTTGAGAACATGCCTTCACAACCATAATCGGCTATTAGAACATTTATGTGCTGGCCCCTTAGCCAGGTCAGGTCGCTTCGCCACTGCCCCAGGGGTGCGTGCGCAACTGCCATGACGGCCGCGTCGCTGGCCTGGCCGCCGGCTCGCTCCAATCGCGCAGGCACCACCTTGCGCTAATGCGCGTGAGCTCAACCAGCGTCCTGCCACGCGACCGCTCAGGGTCCACGGCGCAGGGACCATCGCCTCGCACGGACCCGTGTCTACCTCGTCCCCCCTCACGGAGCAGCGCGCAACTCTCCACAGCTCACACCCGCGCCCTGGCCGCACGAGGTGGCGCCCCGCGGCCTGCCGCGTCGCCAAACCCGCCTCACGCGGCGCCTGGGAGCTCGCTCACCGACGCGCGCTGCGGCCACCTCCTCGCCAGACGTGCCTGGAGAACCGCGCCATCATGCCGTGCCGCGCGCCCACGATGCCGCGCGAACGGCCCAGCGGCGCGCCCCGACCAGCAGGCTCTTGCTGCGGTTGCGCTGCGCAGCGTGGGCTGCCAGCCGCTCTCGCCTGGCAAGGCCACGGGGGGGGGGGGGCCGACCCCGTGGCTTCCACCAGTGCCTCAGCCCTTCTGCGGCGCGGCAACCAGACCGCGCGGCGCGCGGAAGTCCTAGACTCGGCCCCGGCTGCCGCGACGGATGCCCGCCGCCTCCCTGCTCCCTCGTCCCCTTCCTCTGAGACGAAGCCAGGACAGGGACAATCTCGGCCCAGGACAAATCGGAGTTCTCTGAGATCCAGCGGCTCTGGAGGACGTATCGGGCGCCGCGGCCTTCTCGGAGCGCCCCAGAACGCTCCGAAAGCGTCCAGGAACGCTCTGGAACGATTCATCCCTGTCCTAGCCCCGCCCGACCCTTCCTTCCTCCCTCTCCCCCCGCTTCCTCTCCTGGTAGCAACGCAGCACCGAATCCAGGCGGTCGTGCAGGCACAGCACGCGCCCGCCTGAAGAGATGATGCTCATTACACAGCCCGGAAGATTGACGCCTGCAGGTAAGAGAGATGAAGACTTACCCCCAACCATTTGTCTGAGGGGC